GAAGTCCGAAGGACTTATCGGGAAAACTCATGCCTTTTCTGAGGAGTTCATAAAACTAAACTTCCTCTGACTAGCGGAAGGTTTCATCGAGGGTTTCATTAATAATTACGCCCAAACATCAAGCATTTTCAAGAGTTAAAAAACTACTCGCGTCAAAACTCTTGCCTACATGCCACTCTTCCGACAGCTTCATAGCAGTATGTGCATTAGTGTGGATCAAATTATCGATTTTCCTCCACCAAGCGCAATCGGTTTCAAATCAGGTCCTGGTAATACTCCCAAAATTTGGATGCGAACTCAACTTGCCTTTTGAATTTTATTCGGGAATTACTACGGGAAAAGTGATCTTTTTGTTTTAAAAGTTCTATTCTAGCCCTTCACTGTAATGATCCGCGGAAATTTTTGCTATCTGCACTAATGTGTACTTCTCAGCTACAATTTTGCTTAAATAGACCAGTAATAGACAAAATGCACGAATATTGTAATTTAATCGGTTTTCTGAGATGTGGCCAAAATAGGAACCTATGGCCAATACTGGTGCACTTCCCCTACTTGGCGCGAAGAATATGGTTTTACCTAAAAGGAAGAGGAGACAACACAGGGGCGAAAACGAACCACTTTTCTGTCAAACGAGAAACAGCTCGTGATTGGCCGATTTGAAGTGCGTAATATAGAGATAGAGATAGATATAGATAGAGATAAGAGAGTAAGAAGCCACTAGTCCCCTCTTCCTCTTAGAGTTTTACCGAAGACATCATATCAAGAAGACTGGCAACTTTGCCAGAATCCAAGCGACAGATACAATAGCGCTGCGCTTGAGTGAAGGTGGAAGCAACGCATAGAAGAATGACCAAATACACAAACCTTTCTTCTGAGGATGTTATCTTTGCTATCAAATTCGTATTCTAATTCGATAAGAGTTGCCAGTCTTCTTGATTTGTTGTCCTCGGTTTTACTTAACTCAATGGTTTTACCACAAACGAAGTGACAGAGGGAGCGGCTCGAAAACTTTGGTGACCCATCTACTATTGCAATTTTTCAGTGTACCACATGGCAACACTACTACCAACAATCAATACGAAACTAACGATTTTAAATTGGCTCACCACTTTAGTAGCCTATTGGTCCCAAGCAAACGATTAACGTACCCTATTCTAGTTGACATTCTATTACTACACTATGTTTGTTTTGATTCGCTATGAAAGTTTGACAGATAACATCAGGGGTGTGTGGATTCATGCAGAACATGCAGGGGTGATTGAAATAGCTTGGGACTGCTTGGGACCGTTGTTCTGGTACTGAGTGAGCCAAAAATAATAATGATTTTCTTCGGGACCCAGTGGTCTTAGAGTTACCTCTATGCTACTACGGGATTGTACAAGCATTTTCACGAAATGTACTATAATCTTTTGGTTTTATCTTTTTCACTCTACTCAAAACTGAAATGCATAAAAAATGCCAAAATGATACACTCTTTGAACACTGTCAAAGATCATTGCACACAAAATCAATTTTGTTCAAATCAAAACAAAAATACTAGCCCATCTGATGGCATTCTATTACAGCGAACCACATTATTTTAATTGATTTCTTCGCCAGTTAGTCGTCTGTCACTTCGTTTATGGTTTTACACCTTCGGGGTTAATCTCAATCAGATAACAGTTCACTGGTACTGTTTACGTGGACTTTTATTCGTCGGTGATAAGAGTCCCGCCAAGAGAAAATGTTGCGAACACTGTTTGTGATTCATTTTTCGTCAGAGTAAACGGCAACCAGATTTTTTGCATTAGCATCGCATGACTTTCATTCAGAAGTGAAAAATTTCATGTCGATTCGATAACGGAGCTTCTGCGAGACAAAAACAATCATAGAACCTGAAAAATGTTCAAACAATTGCTTGGTATAACTTATAAATACCACAATGTAATTACTAAAATATTGTCAGTAATAAATGCAATACTTTTAGTTCACTGGCACTGTTGGCGGGACTCCTATTATAACATTGACTCTGCCAGAGTTGATAATAGAAGAGTTACGCAGACTGAAACCAAAATATACCTTTCGAACTGTCAAACCGTCTTCCATATCGAGCATAGTAGTCATAGTGTTGTGTGGGAAGTATTGTTTGCACAAAGCGGGATAACAGAGGAAACTTTCACAACCCAGGTGAAGTTATCCGAGGTGTAAAGAAAAACAAAAAAAAATGCCCAATAATCGACATCAGTGGGCCGTATGAATAAAAAGAGTTTACTTTACTTTCCCGTGCTTTTCTTACGGGAAAAGTAAAGTAAACGCTTTTATTCATACGACCTAGTGTTGCAAGCTTCACTCTGCGTAACTCTTCTATTATCAACTCTGGTATGACCGTTGACAGTATGCAGCGTTCGACAGTATGCAGCATGTCCTGGGCTCAAACCGTTTATTTTGCTGTGCTGGGCTCGCTGTCACGGTATAACATGTTGTCTACGCGCCTGCCACTGGGCTGGGTATGACCTAGAGTCAGTGTATAATGAGTCACGCCAAGAGTGCAGCCAAGTATACCTATTGAACTCTCAAACCGGCTACCTATCGTGCAATGTAAATAAAAATTACGATGCTATGAAAGGTCCACGAAAGGTATTGCAATAAAATATAAAATATAATTGAAGAAATGATCATAAACACGCAGTGAGCATTAAATTGTCATGGGATACGTTTGGTAATGATCAGTTATGAGAATTTCTACTATTTTTTGATAAGATTTTTGACGAAATCACTGACATAATGATTCACTACTACTTCACTATTTTTTTCTCGCTAGAAGTCATTTGAAGTTGATGTAGAAGTCCTCTGATGCCAAGTGAAAAGAAAGGGATCTTTCGAAAACTGTGATGCGAGTTCATCTGTTTTTCTCTTGGCGTGAATCATTATACACCGACTTTAGTATGACCAACTATGACCAAGAGCATTATTTCTAAAATGAATTATGAGCACATCCTTAGGGAGCTGCACCGGTAATTTCATTGTTGCTTTTGAGGCGCACCCCGAGTCGCTTAACAAAATAAAGCAAAACGATATTGAAGTTTGTAGTTCCTATTTTAATGAAAACTCTTTTTGATTTCAATTTTCGCGGCATATGTCTGATAGTATATTATACTTTCATTATGCAGTCAAAGTTATATCAGTGCCAACATTTCAAAGGGGCGTAATTGATTTTGTAATTGATGTAATATTGTATCTGCTTTTTCCACATGATTTTCATGAGACCACACATAAACAGAATCCACCCAGAAGCACACATGAAATTTATGAGTCAAATGAATAGTATGTGTGATTACACATGGCTTTTATTTGCACACATATTAAGTATGTGCCCGACACATAGATATCATTTGTTGATCACATTGCAAAAATTCATGTGTGGGACACATAAAAACAATCTTTGAAATTTTATCAGTGTAGGCGACGCAGTCGACTGTCAAAATACAAGAAAATAGAGTCCCTGTTGTAAAAATTCTTGCGTTTCACAAAGAGACAGAAAACTGGTTCATAAAGGGCCCCCTATAGAGATTGCTAAAGTGTGATTATGTCAGTGATTTTTTTTATCATGAAAATATTCCGGTACCTATGAAGTTTTTTTTTCCTGATGAAAACATTTTGCGTATACGTATGCCATGAAATAAGGGAAAGGTGAAGAATCAAAAAATAGACAATGAGTAACAACCCGAGCAAAGCTGGATATCAAATTGAAATCAAAATGTGCTTTTTATGTAACTTATTTTGAATACCCTGAATGATCTCATTTTGTTTGACTTAACGGTTAACACAGCAAACCTGAGAGCAAAATTTTACACTGTTGAATCAAACGGAAAACTAATCCTGCTTTCAATTAAATCAATTTGATTACTGATTTTGCAATATTAATATTTAACCACAGACAAACAGACATAACACATGCAAGTTGTTCATCGAACAAGCATTTAACGGACAATTTAAAAGTATCGTGGTTGGTAGTACCGCCACCTATGGCGCGCATAGACAATTCTCTTGCGTTTGAAGTTTACACACTACCGCCATCTGTTCAGCGTAGTGCCCACCACAGTGTATTCAACAGATGGCGGTAATGTTTTAGCGACGATGTTTTACAGTGAGAAATATTCAATGTGTTATGTCTGTTTGTCTGTGATTTAACTGAATACGAGCCTGGCGTTAATGGTTAGCAACTGTTAGCATCCATGCTTCTCACGCTGAAAGACTTGAGTTCAAATAACGCCCCGGCCATATCACGAATGATTTAAAATGTGTTAAACAAAACAAATAAACAATAATTGTTAGTTCAACGATAGATGAAAAAAATTTAAATTTTCAACAAGACGTTAACAGCAAAACATAAACTTACATATTCAGTGCCAACATTTCAAAGGGGCGTAATAGCATTTGTAAACAATTACTTTAGCCGTCAATTTCTCGCGAATGAAATCTTACCTCTCCAAAATTACAATGCTAGCTGGTAGAGGAAACATGCCTCTACCTGCTGGTGTCATTATTTTTCATGAGTGAGCTTTTATTCCTTATAAAAAACGACTATACCTGAACGATTCCACAAATCGTTTGGATGATACCCTGAATACTCCACTCCATCCTGTGTTACGTAACATTTGAACGCCCCTGTCGCAGTTGACTAGAGGTAGTCTGATAATAATACTAGTCGACCTTTGCAGCGACTACCCTTCCTTTAGTCATTTTCTTTATGCATTATTCTAAACAAATTAATAATTCAGTGCCAACATTTCAAATGGGCGTAATTGCTTTTGTAAACAATGGCTTTAGTCGTCGATTTCTCGCAAATAAAAGCCCACCCCTCTAAATTACAAATACTAGCTGGTACAGGAAACATCCCTCTGCGTGCTGGTGTCATTCATTTTCATGAGTGAACTTTCATTCGCGAGAAATCGACTACTAAAGCCATTGTTTACAAATGCAATTACGCCCCTTTGAAATGTTGGCACTGAATTATTGCGTTGTGCTTTTGAGAAGGAAAATCGTTCCTTTTTTTTTCTTGATTAACTAATTTATATAACATCGTTGCATTCTTAATTATTTGTCTTCGATCATGTTGCTGTTGCGCTTGGTAAGATTAATGGTATCGATTCGAAATTATGTAGCACATCAAAAACTCATCAATGTTCATATAAATATTCTAGCCACGAGCCTGTTGGAGCCTGGAATACGGACCGGCACGATTGATTTGCACCAGTAAAACCTTGTTGGTTCCATCTAATGAGGGGAACAAACCTCCAACTCCCATGATTGATCTAGAAGATAAGTCTCTCCCAATCCCCATTTACAAGGAAAAGAAAAACGAACCACTCCGGCTGCAGAAGTCGAGGTAAATATGATAGCAAATGTGATGTTCCATTGCGGTATGTGATGAAATTCTTCCCCTCAGGTTGCTATACCAATCTCGCAAGCGGGGTATGCTGGAAAATGGACTACTGCTGAGTACTTTTGCGGCTAAATACTTGGAATCGTTGGATGCGAAGCAAACAAAGCTGTACGATCAGCTGATTAATATGCCCACTAATGATTGGGACATCTTCTACTGGGCCACCGGTGTGAAGCCGACTCCAGCCGAGTATGAAACCGAAATTATGGCAATGCTGAAGGAACACGTCAAGAATGCCAATCGGGAGAAGAGGCTTTGCCAGCCAGATTTGTACTAAGGCTGCGTTATTTGATGGAGAAGGAGCAACAATTTGATCTAGCATGGTGGCATTTCGGATGAAATGTAAAAGTTATTTAATGAATCGTAAATTAAAAATATAATAGAAATGAAGGTACTTAATGATTGTGATCAACATCTTTCAAAAACGCGGTACAGATCCGGTAGATTGGCTATTTGCAAAAGCGATCCATTCCTTGCGAACGATTTTGGAGGCAGCAGATACTGTTTAAAGGCCGGAAAGATGGCATGTTCCACTTCCCATTTGTATTCTTGATCACTTTTTGTCAGGGAAATTTTTGCATAAAATCGTGCCATTTCTTTGCAAAAAGTGTGAAAACATTCTTTCTCCTCATCCCATTCCACTTCAGTTGCGAGACGGAGTATGAGCATCGGAAGATAAGCCATCGAGGGAATATAATCGTCGACAATGATAGGGATGGATACCAACATACCTTCGTCAGTGATGCAGAAATTGAAATATTCTCTCATAAGTGGTGCTTTACCGATTAATATTTCCACTATTCTTTCGGCGAGTTCATCCATTGGACCATCGTCTTCGGTCCAACCGCTGTCGACGTGCTGTAAGGCAAGTACTGCCAGCTCCGTTAGAGGCAAAGGGTTCGTGAATGTTATGCAGTCCAGATTTTCAAAGTTGAACATCAGCATCTGATAGCACAGTTCTTCAAACAGAGTCCTGATAGCGACAAGAAACATTTTTGTATCGTACTGGATGACCGCCTGGTAGCGATCGATCACTCCTACGAAAGTTAATTCACTGAGAATTGTTCGCAAGTTTCGGTCGCAATCATCTTCCACCGCCTTACGTATATTCAGCACGCTGTTTAATTTGGTTTCTCTGCAAAATAAGAGGTCGGTTACGTTGTAACAAATACTTCACAGCTACAGGTATCTAGCAGGTACTTACTTAAGATTTGTCTGCCTTTTTGGAGTAAGCAAAGGTCCTAACTCTCCACAGTTGGTTGAGCTTTCGTTAATGCTGGCATTCCTCGAGACGTTCATCCCGAAAAACTTATCCAATTTCTGATCGGTGTGGGAAGTTCGAACGAATTTGTAATCCAATTTAGATTTCTCAGCAGTCGATTCGTTCGATTTAGTCGTCTCTACAGGATCGGGTGCTCCGGGTAGTAGTGCTTGAGTGTAGAACGTCCGGGATGCATTCCCGCCAAGTAGTATACGTTCCGCAGCGTCTCTAATTTTCTCGATGATTTCTTCTTCGTGAAGGAAATGAACTTCGTGCTTTGTTGGATGCACATTGACGTCAACATTGTTGGGGTTTAACTCGATGGAAAGATATACGAACGGTGCCATGCCTTTCGGTAGGTAGAGGGAGTAGATTTGATCGATAGCTTTCTTAATGTTGCTGGATTCCACCGCTCTATGGTTGATGAACAATAGAAATAAGCCTTTCTTCAGCGAAAAGTTTACGTTGGTAATATATCCGTTGACTTGCAATTGTAGGATATCATCGTCTATATCAATTTTCAACAGTGATTTACCAATAGATGAACCGTAGATCATTTTAATGTTATTTACAACGGTTGATTTGGCTTGCGTTCGAATATTTGCATTATCTCCAAACTTTTTGAGCATGAAACCAGTCTGCGGATTGTGTACTGCGTACTTACTAACTACGTCCAAAATTTTCTGAAACTCTTCATTGGGAGCTTTGAGAGCCTGCTTTCTCATAGGAACGTTATAGAACAAATCTTCAACAATAATTTGTGTACCCTGATTACTCGCACAAGGCTTGATAGCTCCCTTCAGTTTACCATCCTCATACACTCCTTTGAACGCACATTTTTCATCCTTGGTTTTGGTAGTTATCGTCAGACGTGCAACATGACTGATACTTGCCAGTGCTTCTCCCCGGAATCCGTACGTTGCTATGGAAGACAGATCTTCAAATGTTTGTAGCTTCGACGTAGTAAACCGTTCACATACGATTTCCAAATCTTCCCGGCGAATTCCGGTTCCGTTGTCTTGGATCTGCAAGGACTTCAGCCCACCAACTTTGATAACCACCTGAATGCTCGTTGATTTAGCGTCCAAACTGTTCTCAATCATTTCTTTCAGAGCATTTGCGGGTCGTTGGATGATTTCTCCGGCAGCTATTCGATTCACCACCACTTCGTCAAGTTTTCGAATTACGCCGGGGTCCATTTGATCCGATTGTAAGTGAAATTTATTTAGACTACGATACCCTGCTGGAAGAACCTTTTGTTTAAATTTAATTACTTCGTTGTTTATTTACAGTACTGCAATAATTTCGCATTTATGCATTAATGCTAAATGATTCAAAATATTATTTTTTATTATTTTGTTGGTTTTTACAAACTTTGCGCGCTTCCACACTCAAAAAATTTATCACATATCTAATGGATGAAATCCATGTGATTTTCAGCTTGCCTGCACAGCAAAAAAAGTTGTTGAATATTACATCTAAACTGCTGCAACCAGGTCAATCCATCGGTTGTGTAATATAACGTTGTACGATGTACATCGATTTTGCGAACAAAATTACATCCATTGATGTAATATTGTATTTGCTTTTTGCTATTACATCATTATTTCGTACATCCGCTTGAATTACGTTGATCGATATTACATATTTTTTGCTGTGATGTGATCACATAGCTGCAAATCCCTCCACAAAATCACATGAATATTATGAGGCCGATGAAATTCATATGAAAAATCATATAAAATTAATGTGATCGCATAAATGTTATGTGAAATTCAGATGAATTCAGTGCTAACATTTGAAAACGGCACAAAAGCCATTTGTAAACAAATGGTTTGTGGGCCCTTTACTCACTACTTGAAGTACACCCACGCGACACAACAGCAACATCGGGTAGGGGAAATTTTCCCCTTCCTGACGATGCTGTTGGTTTGCGTGGGCGTTCTTCGGGTAGCGAGTAAAGGGCCCACAAACCATTTGTTTACAAATGGCTTTTGCGCCGTTTTCAAATGTTAGCACTGAATTATTCCATTAATTTTGATGCTGGATGAAAATCATGTGAGTTTTCAATGGAAGCTACATGAAAACTTTTTTCGGTGCATGCCCACTGTCCACAGTTTATCACAAAATCAGGGGAAACATGTCAGAAGGGTCTAACTCGAAACGTAAACAATGACATGGATCGTCGGTTTCTTCCGAATGACAACACAGCCGCTGACAGAACAATCCTTGTTCTATGAGCTGGTGTAGTCATATTCCAAGGGTGTGTGGTCATTCAAGAGAAATCGACGTTCGAAGTCATTGTTTAAGTTTCGAGTTATACCCTTCTGACATGTTTCCCCTGAAATGTAATGTCGGCAACGATTTTTTACGTTCTGCTTTCCCCTTTTCTTCTTCGTTTCGTTTCGTACGCTGAAACCGCTGAAACCGCTAAAACCGACTAAAACTGTCGAAATTAAAAATCGTCGCACTTTCCTGTTCGACCGTCACATCAGAATCCTTTCCTTTCCCAGCAAAACAAAACAAAGTAAAATTTGACCAAAACACGCGGATTTTATTTTTAAAAAGCGTTGTTTTTTGTTTTTAATTTTTTGGAAAAAGTGTTTGATAAAAATGGCTAATGTTTTGTTGAGTGAAGCTGAGAAAACGTACATTCTTCACGGTATTCAGGTAATAGTAAAAAATATCAGAAATAGGAACTTTATTTGGATTAACACTGTTCCACTTACGTTCGCAGAAAGACTACCGGAATGACGGCCGAACGAACCGGGACTACCGCCCGATGGAACTGGAAACGGATATCGTCGTGCATGCGATGGGTTCGGCACGGTTACGTCTGGCAAACACGGATATTCTTGTAGCAGTGAAAGCCGATATCGACGTACCTAGTCCCGATCGGCCGAAGGAGGGTAAGATTGAGTTCTTCGTCGATTGTTCTGCTAACGCTACGCCTGATTTTGAGGGGCGTGGTGGTGAAGAATTGGCCACGGAAATTTCCAACACCCTGTCGAAAGCCTATCTCTCCCAGCAAGCGTTCGATTTGACGCCCCTGTGTATTTTGGCTAAGCATCAATGCTGGAAGTTGTACGTGGATATCCTGATTCTGGAGTGTGGGGGAAATTTGTTCGATGCAGTCTCCTTGGCGGTGAAAGCGGCTCTTTACAACACGAAATTGCCACGAGTGTCTTCAGCGGAACTTGACGGAGGAGCTATGGACATCATACTCTCAGACGATCCATACGATTGCGAGCGATTAAACATAGAGGCTGCTCCACTATTGGTAACCGTATGTAAAATTGGAGATCACTGCGTGGTCGACCCATCAGCTGAAGAAGAGGAATGCAGTGCGATCAGCGTTGTAATTGGTGTTTCTCGCAAGGGACATAAGGGGTCTGTCACATCAATCAGAACATCCGGAGAGGGGTCTTTCCATGCAGATACTTTGATGAAAAGCTTGGATTTAGGCGTTAGCGCGGCTGCCTATTTGGACAAGGCGCTTTTGGCCGCGCTGAAAGCGGATGAAGAGAATAATACCAAGCCTTTAGGGGAGAAGGAAATATTTGGATTTTTGAAATAGATGCTGGCAATTCAATATCATTGATTGATTAATTGATTTCTTTGTTATAAAGACTGGATTAAATCGTCATCGTTACGGTACTGAAAGAAATCCATGTTTTGTTTTAAGCAGCATATAAAAGATCACATCACTCGAGCAGTAAAATGGTCGAAAAGCTGGCCAATTTTTTGTTCATGCATTTTTCAGTTCAAATCGGTACCCACAAATAAAAAACAAAACATCCAAAATTAAGTTCATTTCACTCATATCCCACCGAAATTCACAATTGGGTTCTTTAATTTTGAAAAATTTATTGGTTACTACATCATCTGAAAGGGCTTCGTCTTCTGAGCACAACAGTTGTTACTATATTATTTTGTTCGATCCCATTTACGCCTATCTTCGATTTAAAGGAAAATAACCACTTTACTGTTTGACACAAAACAAACAAATTGACAGTCCGCTCCCATACAAAGTACCAACAAGGGGCGCAGAGATAATGATTTTTACTAATGTAATCACACTTATTTGAAATAGTTCCAGTGCTTCAAAATCGGGTTCTTTAAGGGTATTGAGGTTAATGTATATTCGTAATCTGCATTAAAAATGGAACCCAAACCCAAAATTTCATCAATTGGGTTCTTTAATTTTGAAAAATATGTCCGTTTTAATATATCATCTGAAAGAGCTTTGTTTTCTGAGCACAGTGATATTTTTTTCGAACCCACACACTTTAATCTCGATTTTTAAATCAAGCTTTAAAGCAAAATAATAACATCACTGTTTGACATTAAACTGACAAACTGACAGCTCGCTCCCATACAAAGTGACACCGAGGGCCGCGAATAAGGTGATTTTTGCAAATGTAATCGTACTTATTTAAAATAGTTCCAGTGTACCAAAATTTATGAAATTTTGGGTTTGGGTTCCATTTTTAATGCAGATTACGAATATGCATTTACCTCAATACCCTTAAAGAACCCACTGGTACACTGGAACTATTTTAAATATGTACGATTGCATTTGCAAAAATCACCTTATTAGCACCCCTCGGTGTCACTTTGTATGGAAGCGAGCTGTCAGTTTGCTAGTTTAGTGTCAAACAGTGAAGTTATTATTTTGCTTTAAATCTTGATTTAAAAATCGAGATGAAAGTGTGTGGGTTCTAAAAAAAATATCGCTGTGCTCAGAAAACGCAGCTCTTTAAGATGATGTATAAAAACCGATACATTTTTCAAAATTAAAGAACCCAATTGAAACGCAGATTACGAATACCCCTAAAGAACCCAATTAAAATATTTAAATCTTGATTTATAAATGCTGTCGAATCAGCCTACTGATCATTCTTGTATGAAACTGGTTCCAAACGTAAACAAACGCTGTAGGTTTCTTATGGCTTGTTTACGTTTGGAACCAGTTATGCGAGGTAGGCGACGATTGTTCGTATTTGAAAGCCACCTCCCCCCCCCCCCCCCCTTGGATGAATGCTTACACTAGTAAAAATCCACACATAACTAATAGAAAATTTCTATAAAATATTAAGCATAATATTCATTTGGCCACACATAATTAGATATCATGGAACAAAACACATACAGATTATGTGTCATATAAACAGTATGTGTGATCACATATAGAGATGATATGTGCAAGTGAGATTTATGTGTCTGGCATATAGAAACTATATCATAAATCTAATTGCAAAAATCTATGTGTGGAACACATAGGAACAATCATTGACTTTTTCTCAGTGTATGAAATCGATACAAATATCTTTGAGCTCGAAGCTCTTTCAGATGTATAAAAACATGTATTGTTTTTCGAAATTAAACAACCCAATTATCCACAAACAGCGTATATAGTATTCAAGGATTTTTAATACCCCTCACTTCACTTGAAAGCCTCCCATACACATTTTTAAAGATTTGTATTGCGAATTGCGCACAGCGGAAACGCTTATGAAGTGCGGTTTTACATTTAATAATTCCGGATACTTCGGCGCACTCATTTCTTGGTTCAGGCCTGTATAAGGCCTGTATAGAGATCGAAGCGAAGCGAAAAACTCATACAAAATACTACATTTTTCACCTGCGTGAAAAACATAATTGGCAAATATTTCGCTTCGCTTTGAACTGTAAACAGATACGATCCAGCGAAATCTTATTTTGTGGATCGTATCTTTTTCGCTTACGTTCATTTTTTTCGCGCATGCAGCGCTAGCGAAAAGAGCAGCAGGTAAGCGAAAAGTTGACGTTTCGAGAAAGAGCGTATCTGTCAGATTTTCACTTCACCGGAGGTGTAAACTGACCGATTTCGTTTCACATGAACTGTAAACTGCGAAAAAAGGAAACTGGAAAATGTTCCACAAACATTTTTTCACAACCTTTTTCGCTAGCGAAATTTCATGATTTTTCGCATGCTTCAATTTTCGTTTCGCTTCAATCTGTATACTAGGCTTAAGGTTCAATTTACTTTGATGCTTTTTGAAAAATTTCAAAAGCAGTTTTTTCCGACGCATTATTTCAGATTGCAAAAAGCTCGCACTATTCGATTCCTTTTGATATTTTACACAAAATGACGCGAACTTTTTGCAATCTAAAATAATGCGTCGAAAAAAACTGCTTTTGAATTTTTAAAAAATGCATCAAAGTAAATTGAACCTTAAACTGCGAAAAAGGAAACTGGAAAATGTTCCACAAACATTTTTTCACAAACTTTTTCGCTAGCAAAATTTCATGATTTTTCGCGTGCTTCAATTTTCGTTTCGCTTCGATCTGTATACTAGGCTATAGAGATCGAAGCGAAGCGAAAATCTCATACAAAATACTAAATTTTTCACCAGCG